TTACTATTTTATGCAAGCTTTAACATGTTGCTGTAATTCCCACAGTCATTTTCAATGTTTTTTTAAACAGTAGTTTTCATTAAAATTTATTTCAAGCCAAAACAAATGTTTTTGTATTATATAGAGTGGGGAAGGATTAGATCCCCTGTTGAGTTTTTACTGCTTTCTGGATCTCTATTAGAAAGATTTACCCTCAGTTGCTGGCCCAGCGACAGCAGTTTTACCATAAAGGAAGTGAGGGAAAATCTGAACCAGGGAATTAGACAGAAATGAAACTCTAACAGGGGTTCTACCCTTACACTGCACTAATAATATAGGTGTTATTTCTCTATGTGTTGCTGTTGGAGAGTTCATTAACTTCTTGTCTTGTAAAACATTGTCAGCAGAAGGTGAAGGCAAATCTCTCTGAGCCCCGAAATAGCAGCAAGAGAGAGTTTTATTGCGTTCCCATCCACCAACCTAAGATAAAAAGGTCCTATGGCCCAAGTGCATTCCCTTTCAGTTTAGGGTTCATTTGCCTTAAATTTTACTCCCCTTTAAAGTGACACCAAACTCAGGAATTAAATCTTAGAAATGTATTCAAGTCCCTTAACTATTAACAAAAATGTACCTTATTTGTGTATCACTCGGCTGTATATCCTCAAATCATCTCTGAATTAGTGCTGACACTATCCTTCCTTTTGGAGGGTGGCTACTTTTGTTCCCCATGGTCCCTGGGTGTGTTGTAAAGTAGTCACTGCTCCACGCTCACTCCCGTGATGGACTACAATCTCATGTTTAGTTAGCTAATTTGTATTGAAATTGCAAGTTTATGTAAATATTGCATTGAATGTCTATCATGGGAGAGAGCTTGTGGCTACTTTACCATGGGGGTCAAAAGTAGGCACCCTCCAGAAGGAAGGACAGTGTCAGCATGAATTCAGAGATGATTTGAGGATCTACAGTCTAGTGATGCACAAATAAGATACATTTTTGTTAATAGTTAAGGGACTTGAATGCATTTTTAAGATGTAACTCCTGAGTTTAGAGTCACTTTAAAGGGGAGTACAATTGAAGGCAAATGAACCTATAACTGAAAGGGAATGCACTAGGGCCATAGGACCTCTTTATCACTTTAAGGATGCACTAGAAACATTTTCTAATACCTTTTTTATATCTCGCACAAGCGCCTTCAAACTAAAATCCAAGAGGCATGTTCCATACTGTAATATATTGTGTAACATTTCTTTACTACCTCTACAGTAAACATTTTGTGTTCATGTTCCTAGGTGATGCAAACAGCAACATTTCTCGCTACAAGCCAAATCATTTTGATAAAAAGATACTAAAGTGGACAGGACGTTTCAAATCAGAGGCCGATATTCCACCATCAATTCCGTAAGGTTTCATTCATTTTACCTTCACAGTATACAGCAGTGACGTGACGTGCCTTCTGTGATGGGTGAGGCATTCCCCAACCACACCCCCCAGCCCACTGAAGCTCCACTCCCGTCCTGCTGAAGCCCCGCCCTGGTCCCACCAAAGCCCCAACCCCCAAAGCCCCATCCCAAGCTCAGTAACCAAGCTATGTGGGGAGGAGGAAGGGAGGAGACAGGGAGGAGCCTCCCTGTCTCTAACTTGCTCTTCATTGGTGAGTCACTGGTGAGGCATCAAGATCGATGTCCTCAGTGTTTTTGTTTTCTTTTTTTTTATTGGACAGCTTGGACCAATTGCGCTTTGGATTGGTCCAAACCATCCACAGAGCTCACGCCTCTAACACAGAGTAGTGTTAGGGGCGTAATCAACGAGGAGTAGAGGAGTAGAGTAGTGTTAGAGGAGTAATCAACCAGTCATTTTTAAGGCTGAAAGGCAAGGAATTATCAAATTACACAGGTAGATGGGCACTGCCATGGGGGACATTAACCAATCGCAAACAATGTACAAATAAAAAATTTCAAAATAACTTACAGTGGAAAGAAGGTGCTCCTTTTTATGCATCTTTGAGGGTGACAAGGGAAAAACACGATTTATTTCAATTACATGTTTGGTCGATTCCTTTATTCTGTATATAGTGTTATGGAACATTATAATCCTCACAGACATCATCAGAGACACTGTACACATATGCATGTGTAATGGATTTTTTACATTTAGATTATTACTTAGCTTAAAAACAATCTGATACATTTCAACTTGAAAAAGGGCTTTTTTTAGGTAATTTTAGATGCCACACCTGATTTTTGTATCCAGTGGTAATAGGCCTAATTTGAACAGTAGAAGTAAAAGCCAGAACAGATCAAAAAACTATAGTAATATTTACTGTTTAAAAAAAACCAAAGCTAAAGCCCTCAACTCATACTAATTGGTCAGAGGCCACACAGATTCAATAGTAATAGCTAAGTAATAACTTGTGATTTTATTTTTTCACAGTATCACACTGTATTGTCTTGAAAGTTTAACAAAATGCCAAAAAAGAGTGCATAAAAACACTTCAAAACCACAACCCTGCATTCCAGAGACAAGGCAGTTGTTATCCTAAAATAAAATTAGAGTGCAATATTTCAAATAATATAGGATAATATGTAAGCCGCTTAGACTGAAATGTCAGAGGCAGATACAATCCATAATAGAAGTCACCAGCACTTGATGATATGTGCAAGAAGTAAAGCATAGTGACCAGTGCCACCCAGAAGAAGGGACCCTTTGTGGCCCCGAAACGTTGGCTGTTTGACGCATGTGACGATTGAATAAAAAGTGCTTTACTTCTTGCACATATCATCGAGTGCTGGTGACTTCTATTATGGACTGTATCTGACACGGCGCCATCCCTGTTGTCACTTCAAGCACCAACCTCTTACTCAAGGTCTGTACGCTGTATGGAGTTCAGGTGATTTTGTATTATCTGAGGCAGATACGAGACAGTTTTTTTATCATATTCTAAATATTTTACAGATGCGCAGCATGTAAGCCTTTTTACTAGCCTGCATTACAGAGCGACCAGGCAGATTGTATAATAAAATAAAAAAGAGAGTGTATTATTTCAGAGACAACAGATGATGGACAACACGTAAGCCTTTTTACTAGGCCCCAATTTAACTATAAAAGTGAATTTTCACTTAGCAAAGTTTATTTTCATCAGCTTAGTAAATACAGTGAAGCTGTTTTCACTATGAAAAGCCATAATTGGTTGACTGAAGTAAACACAACTTACAAAGTTCCCTTTACAAAGTAAATATGCTCTAATTCTTTTGTAAATCAACCCCCATGTGTTTTCAGGCACTATGGCAGCACAAAAAGCAAATATCATATATTTTTCATTATTTTAATACAATTATTTTAACAGAGCTTAATTTTAAAACTAAGGATGAAAGTTCAAACTTTGCTGCAACATGAAGAGAGTTTTAGAAAAATTGTTGACCCGGCATAGATCACCACATCACCATAGAGCAATACATGCCTTGTACCCACCATATTACTACACAGAGATGGGTTGCAGTGAAAATGCAGACATGCTTCATTTATTTGCAATGCACCACAGATCATGTTGTTGCATGTCACCACACCATAAAAGTTAATAAAATGTAATTTTGTGACATTTCAATACATTTAAAAAAAAGGTAAACATTGCCTTGCACTGTAACAACACCATAGAGATTACCATCAATAGTTTTTAAACAGCACCCCATCTCTTTTTCTGTGTGGGTACAAGGAGTCAGTTTCAGAACAAGATGTGTAGATTACATTTCTAGTAACACTTAGAGAGTGATATTTGTAAGCATGGCATGGCTACTGTATACGTGACAGTTACAGCGCAGGCCTTGCAAAAAACTGTCTCCTATTTGAAGATGAAAGCTTCTGCTGACCTTACTTCACCATCCATTTATGTGTTTGCTCTGTTCTAAATTCAAAATCAATTACAGTTATAATTTCCACTCATTAAATAATTTAAGATGTTCTGGTGTTCAAGCCCAGCCAATCTCACAGTAATGAAACACTGTTTTTAATTAGAGTTTTTGCTTTATCATAAAAATATATTAATATATATAATTATTTTTTATTGTGTCCTTTTTTCAAATGGATACATTACACATACATGCTAATATATTTGTAATTTATATTACATTCTCTTGGCACTTCAAAGAAACTTGTTCCCAAGAAAGGTGTACCTGAATATGTGCAGTTCCCTAATCAGATAAAATAGTATGACGTCTGCATCTGTCAGTTTCTGGATTCAGGTTACAATATAACAATTAATATAAAATAATGGTAATGTCCAGGCACAGAATGTTATGAATAGTGTTAAAGGCTGACTTCTGCTTCCTTCCTCCCCCATTTACTTCACTATATCTGTTTACATATCTGCTTTTCAAGCAGTTTTCAGTCTAGTCGCATGATGTCCCAGGGCCTCCCCTCCTTCCAGCTGTGAATGGGTCCTGAATGTTGCAGAGGGTGATGCCATGCAGTGAAAATCTCCTGTGAATCCAGGTTGACCAGATAATGCACCCATAGGTGGCGGGTCTATGACACCCTGGCCTCACAGGAAGTAGGTTGAATGGCACTGGGCATCATACAACCCAGATGAGGACTGACACTTGTTCTCAGAGCAGAGAGCCTGCAAGGAACAGTGTTGAAGCTAGGGTATGTATTGCAGGGAGACCTGGCATTAACCCCTTCATGACTGAGGCCTTTTTTTTTCATTTTTTTGCACCCATGTTATAGTCCACATTTTAGGCCTGAAAATTACTTAAAACCTCCAAACATTATATATTTTCTGAAAGCCAAGACTCTATAGAATAAAATGTTGGCAGTTGCAAATTTTTATGTTGCACGATATTAGCGCAACTCCTTATCAAACACCAAAATGTAAAATGTGCTTAAATGCCCTAAAACACAATAAGATACCCATTTAAAAAAATCCGAAAGACGAAATTCGGATCCGAAATCCGTTAACGGAATTCGTATTTCGTTTGGTTGACCAATCAGAGGTTTTCTCTTCTGCTGCTGAGAGTTGCATTACAATACAGGCAGGAAATACGAAATTCCGTTAACGGAATTTCGTTCTGTTACGAACATTCGTTATGATGAAGTTAAAAAGCAAAATACCTTTGTTAATATATTGGAGTTGATGGTAGTTGTTTTTTTTAAATCCGAAATATGAACTTCGGATCCGAAATCCGTTAACGGAATTTCGTATTTCCTGCCTGTATTGTAATGCAACTCTCAGCAGCAGAAGAGAAAACCTCTGATTGGTCAACCAAACGAAATACGAATTCCGTTAACGGATTTCGGATCCGAAGTTCATATTTCGGATTTAAAAAAAACAACTACCATCAACTCCAATATATTAACAAAGGTATTTTGCTTTTTAACTTCATCATAACGAATGTTCGTAAAGTTACGAAAACGTGCCGAAACTAAAAAAAATTCGTATTTCGTACAAATCCGAATTAAGTTTTGGACACGAATTACGAAATACGAAATGACGGATATTACGAAACAAATTTTTTGACAGCGCACAAGTCTACCGTGAAATGTCGACCAACCTCAGTACCCCAAAAAGTCAATTGACGACGCTTTAAAAGCCCCCACCAGTCATCAATTTGGAGATACCTAAAAATACTGGCCCTAGAATTATTGCTCTCACTCCACCATGGGCGGTGATACCAAAACATGTGTAGCGTGTTCGTCGTTTTCATACTTAGGCGCACCCGACGCGTGATTACGTGGCAACGCGCACGCTCGCGGGGGCAAGACTTTAAAAAAATCTTACATTATTTTTAGATTTATTTTATTTACATTTTAAAAACTGTTGTTTTTTTTTTTTTACTTTGATTGCTATCACATGGGGGGGCTTACGAGCCCCCCCATGTGATAGCAGATGATGGTGACAGGTACTCTTTAAGGTGATGCTGGGGGTCCAAAAGACCCCCAGTGTCACCTTTACACTAGAACGGGGAGGGAATCGACAAATGGAGGTACGTCCATCTCCTCCCCAGCTCCCCGTGGACACCACAGAAGCCAGTCCCGGGCCCGTAGGAGGGGCAACGGAGCCCGGGAAACACGGCGGGGGTGTTGGGCGGGGGGGGCCTTCACGGGACTCTAGAAGCGATCTGGCGACAGCTGAGTCGCTTCTATTGTAAAGCTGACAGTCGGCTTTACAAGTTTAAACTGAGTCCCGGTGGGAGTCTGTTTAAACAGCCCCGATGCTGGCGACGTACACTGCACGTCGTCAGTCACGAAGGGGTTAAGCATTAAATACATCTTAAAATGGATGCATTTTTAGATGCAAAAATGTAAGACTTTTCCAAAATTTTAGGGATATAAGTATTAAGTTCTCAAACTTTTTTTAATAATGAACCCATATTAAACGAATATAGATTGCCCAGCAAAGTATTTCTTTATATTTTTCCCAAGCATTTACAGTCTTCATGTTTCTGAACAGCCGGCTCCAACTTTCTCAGCTAGGCTTCCCTAAACTTCCTGTCCAGTACAAGATCACAAGGGACAGCACACTCCTCATCAGCTGTCCATCTACTAGCTTGGAGAAGGGAGGAGAGAGGAAGAGAAGGGAGGAGAGAGGAAGAAAGAGCAGGGAACAAGGAAGCTGTTTGCCTTGCTATGCCTGTGTGTTTGTAGAGACACACACAGTTTACTAGCATACACAAAGATGGCCCCATAGGACCCGGCGAGGGAAAGGAGCCACCCTAAAACAGCATATCAGGGCCAGTGCACAGGGGACCAGATTATTCTGCAGGAAGCTAAAACGTTTAAGCATCAAGGGGCCACATCCATTGTAAGTGATTTAATCAGCATTTAAATTGCTTAAAACATTTTGACATTAATATTACTTTAAACAATACTTACTGTATATAAATGATCAGGATAAGAACACATTGCCTCTCAAATAATGTATTTTTTTTATGTTTTTGTTTAGAGTGGAAATGTTGGTTAGAGCTCGGAACAAGGCACGGATTAAAGCTTGCTACATTATGATTGCAGTCACCGTTGTAGCTTGCTTTGCTGTGATTGTATCCGGCAAAAGGGTAAGAAAGCTTAAAACCAAATAATGTCTCCTAGATAACGCCTGTATTAGCAGTTTTACCTTACCATTTGTAAACATCTCACAATCCTCCAGCAAACAAATATACATTATAGGATTTAAATATCACTAAACACCATTAGGGTACGTAACAATTGCTCTGACTAAGTTGCCTGCTGTGTAAACTTTACAGATGTCAAACAAGATTGTAAATCACTCATGTAAGGAAATACACGAGAAGCATTTGGATTTCTACTGTAGATCAGCATTTCAACTCTAAAACATCAGAAAATAATCTGTAAATGTAATAAGAAAAATATTTTAACTTGCATTGTGACTCTAATGATTTTGAGTTCATTAACTGATACAGTGACATCAATTGTTATATATATTCTAGTTTGCTAGAACAGGAGCATATTCATTTTTAAAGAAAATGTGCATGCTTTTGTATATCTTTTTTTATTTTTTTATTGGCTTACCAAATATATTTTCAAACACTGCTTTTTTCAATGTTTGGGGATTAGAAAATATGAAATATGACATTTTAATACTTAACATATACCTATTTCCAGCCAGCAAATGAAGCCTTAGCTTTCGTCTACCAGGCTAATCTTTACTTAAAAGGAAACTGTTCTTTACAGTGTTTAATATCTCAAGGTCAAATTAAACACACACAGCAGAATAAATCTTTTTTTTACCACAGCACCCTTTAAAAGTATGCAAAGTCTCCAGGCACGCTAATTTAAAATGCAAATGTAAAAATGTAAAACAAATTATGTGTGGTCCCCCCAAAATCCATATCAGACCCTTATCCTAGATAGGAGTCTGGCATGGATCCCATGGGGACATCCCACACAACAAAATGTAAGGAGTCACCACTTTTACACCAGAAGCCCTCCTCCACATTGAAAGCTCCCCATTCATATCAGAAGCTCCTTTCACATCAGAGTTCCCCCTTCACATCAATAGACCCCTTCACATCAGAGTTCACCCTTCATATCAGAGTCCCCCTTCACATCAGGAGCCTCCTTTCTATCTAGCTCCTCTTTCGCATCAGAGCCCCTTCCCTTCTCATCAGAGTTCCCAGTTTCACATTAGAGTCCCCCCTTTATACCAAGAGCCCTTTTTTTCACATCAGAAGCCCTCCCTTCACATCAGAAGCCCCCTTCACATCAGAAGCTGCCCCATTCACATCAGAAGCCCCTCTTTCACAACAGAGTCCACGTTAAGAGAGGCTCTTTTCCCATCAGAGCTCCCCTTTCAGATGAGAGTTGCCCTCTTTAACATCAGAAGTCCCCTTCAAATCAAAGCCCCTCCTTTCAGATCAGAGTTTCCCCATCACATAAGCCCCCCTTTACATCAAAAGCCTCTTTACACCAAAAGCCCCCACTTCACATCAGGAGCCCCCTACCATGAAAATGCTTGAAGCTGTGCAAAAAATGTCACTGTACCCCTGAGTAAGTCAGATGGCACCACAGTTGAAAAAGGCTGAGGAGCGATGTATCCCCCTCCTTCTCTGTTCTGCACACCTCAGATCAGACTTTCAGTTTAACAAAGGTAAACACAAATTGTTCTTAGTCCATTGTTTTTAAAGTGCATAAAGCAAAGCTAAAAATAAGGGCTAGTAGGCAGGCTTTTTTAATGACAGATGAGACTATGTATGTCTCTTCTGCTATAGATGCTTCTACCTGCCTGTGAGCACTTTTTTTCTGTAAGTGTGTACATGCCAGCTCAGTTATGTCATCCTGCCCTGGCCAATGAAGATAGCTGAAGACTCTAAACTTGGGAGAAGACTAGGAGAAAATAGAAGCACTGGCACCAGAGGGGTGGGCACACATTGCAGGGCTGGAGGGGGCGACTTTGCTAGGGTATGTCTGCCATAAGGTGCAAATAAGCTGTGTATACTTGCCAATTATGACAAAACGTTCCTGGGGGGCCCAACGTTGTTCATTCAGTATGGCAATTTAGTTCCATTTTAAGTGCCCAATTAAAGTAAACCTCCTAGCTGCCAGGCACTTATGCTGACAACCTGGCTTCAGTACTTTCACAATCATTGACCAGGAACAAGTTTGCAGATCAGGAAATGCCGAGAAAATTCAGAATTCCTAAAGTTTGATGTACTGTATTTGTAATATATTTCTTATGTTTTGCAGGCTGCTGCACGTCACGAGTCGCTAACAAGTCTGAACTTAGCAAAGAAAGAAATGTGGCGTAGAGAAGCACAAAATAAGCCATGAACCTATTCAGCACATTTAAATAGATACAGTATATTACATGCACATTATACTTCCATCATAAGCTTGTTTGTGTCCACAAAGTAATAGCTTTTCAGGTTTCGTTGTTTTCACTGCCTATTGCCTGTGTCAGTCAAAGCATTTAAAGAAGAACTCCAGGAAATCTATAAATGAACCCTTGCAGTGGGGCTACCCCCCTCACTGCAAGGGTTAAAGGCTCAGTTTGGTCTAGGGGCTAAAATTAAGAAAATATATTCACCTGATTCCCAGTCCCACTTGCTGCTAAACCAGTCCCCGCAGCTTCTTCTCCCTCAGGCTCCAGGACGTCATCACATCTAATGCTGCTACATTAGATGTGAAGACGCCGGAGCGAGGTGAGCAGCCACCGCCACAGGACCGAGGAACAGCTGACTATCTTTCCTTTATTTTAGTCCCTAGACCAAATGAGCAGTTAACCCTTGTACTACGAGGGTAGTCCTATTGCAAGAGTTCATTTTTAGATTTCCTGGAGTTATTGTTCTTTAAGGTGTCCTGATCAAAACTGTCCGAAGGGAGTACTAATCCTAACAACTTATTGATCACCATAAGACGCATGAAGCTTCTACTGTTTCAGTCATGGGCAATCAATTATTTGTCTATACTGAACGCACAGCCTGTAGTGGGAGCACTGATTTGTAAGGGGCAGGCAATAGCAAAGGTACCTTGCAGTCTCGTGTAACATATCTCCACTCTCCAAATTGTAACATGTCTTAAGTTTCTGACCATCTCTTGCAAAATGTCAGCAATTTTTTAAAATGTTTTGTAATATTGCATAAGTTGAATATTATGTACGAACCCCCGCGGATATCAGGGGCTGCAGCTGAGGCCCCCTTTATCTAGCAAACTGACCACCACTAGTATAAAGGACAACTAAAAATACATGGAGGCTGCTAATACGGTATTAACTTTTTAATGTAAAATTGTTAGTTTCCTTGCTGTTTTGCTTGTGCAGTGTCTTTAGTACATGTTGGGTCACAACAAATATATTGATCAGAAGTTCTGACATCCCTATTGCCTTTCATTGCTCTCCAGAGATACGCTATGGCTTAAATGCTGACAATAAATGATTCTGGTTGTCGGGCTTGCCCTGGGAAATATTTTGCATATTCAGGACTTGGATCTCAGAAGTTGTAAAAATGTTTTACTACAGTACTCTATATCTGCACATATTGACAGTATTGTCATGCAAATGCATATAGCTGTTTTGTCTAAATCTGGAGTTCCTTTATTTCAGTGATCATTTATTGTACACAATACCCATCTAACCTGGCATTGCACATTAAGTTAACCACATTTTAATCTTTTCAAGAATTTGGTAGTTGATATTCTACATAGAGACATGCCTGGAACTGCTACATCAATACAGACTGTTAGTGATTTACGAACAGCAAAATAATTAGCCACTTACATGTTCAATTTTACATTGTGCTTAAATTAAAGTGATTAAAAATGTAAGAGAGCAACAAGATCAATTATCTTTTCCATCTTTCGGATAGGAAACCCCATTTATTATTTGGCATCAGTCAGTAACATATCTTATAAGTAACAGCTGCAGTCAGATACATAATGTTACAACTATGGGCACTGTAAGACCATCTGTTTAAAGATAACTGAGCTCAAAGAGTACCATCATATATAAATCGGTAAGCATTGTTACAATATTTACAGAAACAGTGCTGAGTTTGTGGATATACCAGCACTATGCTAGAGATGGAGATCCTGCTCCATTAAAGGCTATCAACCTACCATTATAATACAACAAAAATATGTTTTAAAGTGAAGATAGAGATATAGGAGCTGCCACTGCTGGTTTGCTTTAAAGTTACAGCCTTCTGTAATGTGTTGGAAGCAGACCGAGGTACCTAGTTTCAATACTACCAGGTAGTCCCGCAGGTGTGCTCAATAAGATTGGTCCAGCATTCAGCCATTTTATACCAATCTGCAGGGTTTTTTAAAATATTTTTTTATTTTGCTAAAATAAGAGGTAAAGCCAAATCTTGTTTTGGTAATACTGCTGTTTTCAGTCAGATGAGTATGTTAACTAATTTACACACCGGTGACCTAAAGTCAGCAGATAATAGGTTATAGGTGCCCATACACCTTGCGATTATTGTTTGATTTCCGAACGAAATCGTGTTTTCATACGATAATTGGCCAGTTGATGGGAAGTCAACGATCACAATTACTGTACAACTGTCCAAATTTCGTCTACCAGGCAGGCTAGAAAACTTTTTTAGAATTGTGCGAAAATTGATGGATCTGTGGCATTTTCATACAAAAAAAATCGCAAACATGAATACTGCGCATGTGCAAACGAAAATCCGTTCTGTCGATCAACGAAATTCGGGTCAGTTAGTATTGCTAGTGAACGGTAATTGAAATCCACATTGGTCTGTGCTTCATGGGGCAGTCATGCGGAAATCGAACGACAGTTCGATGAGGGCACGGAAAAAATCTAACAATAATTGTAAGGTGTATGGACACTTTAATGCACAGAGCCTCACCAAAGTCAAGAAGAATCCTAGGAAATTAGCCAAGAAGGATCTCCACATCATTCCACATCATCATCAGGTGGACTCTATACATTTGTAGCAGCTTACATTGTATAATAGGCTGAGAGGCTCCATGTGACCATTCTTGGATAGATCATGATTGATCTATCATGATTGGTCATTCTCTAATCACTTTTAGTTTAAGAGTCAGGCAAAGATAGTGATGTTTCAGGTTCTGATGGAAGAGGTTTGTCCTCAGAAACGCGTCAACTGAAGGAGGGTCAGCGTGCAGATGGCTTTGGCTTAGTACTAGCACTTCCTTTCCCTCACCCTATTTTCGTGTATTCATCTTGATGTTCTCCTGCGATTATATCGCTTTCTGCTCGTTTATACCAACTGGTTTGTATGTACCTTTTCATCTGTGTGTTTTATCCATAATAAATCAATTTTACACTATGGAGGCGCTCATTTTGCTTTGTCCTCATCAGATTTCCGGTTTCCCTTGACTGTGAGGAGCTGCCCCCCTGTATATACTTTTGGAAGACCATTTTCAGGAGCAGTTACTGTGTTTTGACACCTGTGATTTTCACATACCTTCTCAGGATTGTCTGAATGCCACTTGATGTTGACAATACCCAGCTAAGAATAGGACTGCTAGATCCCATGAGAGGTGTCTCCATGGGCTGCCTGTTAATGGGCTGTGGGCTATAGTGTTTTTAGGATTCACATCCTTGATCCACAGCCTTATAATACAGAAACTGTACAACCATTGAGACACAGACCATCATGCTGTGGTAGGTCTTAATATAAACAAAACTCAACTTACCGGCTCTGAATAGTGAAGTGTTGCTCACTGCTGGTCAGGAAGACTTTGCAACTTTCTAGCTAGTGGGGAATGATGCACTACTGTTTTCTACAGCAAAGAAGTGACACTGTAGAAACAGGTGAATGGGGTTTTTTTTTGCCCTTTCTAGAAATCCTGCTAGTGTGACATAGGCCTAAGAGTGGCTACTCATAGAAACATCCAAAGTTCTTTATGTGTACCTGGCAGAAACATGAGAAAAACATATTCAGAACATTTTTTTTCTATAGTAGTACCAATGCCAGTTCATTAAAATAACTTACATGGTTTCTGTTACTGAGCTTGAGCAAAAACAGCACAACTATGAAATCTGAATAAAGATGCTTTTTTGCATTTCTTGGTAATCTTTAATGACTGTTAACATAACAATAGCACATTATAATCTTAAAATGTATTTAAAGGCATAACTGTTGTTATTTTAGTTAGAATAGAGAAGGGTTCGATCCTCTGTCAAGTTGTATTGTTGCCTATGTCCCTCCTGAAAATATTCACTCCACTATTTGTCCTGCTGACCATTCTCACTGGGACTGAAAGTGAGGGGAAATCAAAACTTTTAGAGTTGTCATCATAGCAAGAGGTGTTGCATCTCCAGGACAGAAAGCGAAGGGAAATCTCCTCAGAAGGAACCAAACAGTAAAAAAATAACCCAACATTGGATTTAACCCTTCACTTCTCTATCCAAAACTAAAAGTTTTGGCTAAACATACAATCTAAGCAACCTACAGACATTAGATAGAGGCATATAAAGGATGGGCATATCCAGACTCCCATATTTCTAGCCTTTCTCAGGGTAAAACAATAAGCATTGCTTGGAAAGAATACATCTCCAATGTTTAAGGAGCGCTTACAAACATATAAACTGATCATAAATGTCTGGATCAGGCAATAATTTTTTTATGTTCGTTAGCCTGCTTCAATGGACATGCTTCAACCAGGGACGTTAGCCTGCTTCAACCAGGGACAGTCCCTGGAAATATGCCACAGCTGATGAACCTTCTGAAAAAGAGTAGAGCTGGCCATACGCCTATAGAGTTTATTTAGGTGTTTTTCTATCAGGTTATGGTCAGATGGAAAAAGTGCAATAGATTCCTCCATCTACGCCAAACTGTGTGGATGGAAGAATCTTCCACTGGGCCAAGCTTTAGTATCTTGCTAGTCGGCCTCACTGGCTGTCCAAATTTTTGTTCAGGTATTTTGACAGCCAGCGGGGCCGACTAGCAAGATACTGAAGCTTGGCCCAGTGGGAGATTCCTCCAGCCACATACAGTAGTTTAGCATAGATGGAGGAATCTGTTGCACTTTTTCCATCTGACCATAGAAAATCTGCAGATAATTTATAGGTGTATGGCCAGAAATTAGACTACAACATACCCATGACTGCTGACTCTGGCTTCTCTAACATTTTATAAATGGGAATTAAGGCTGGCTTATATCACTAATTATTTAGGCAAAAGTCATCATTCCCTTGCAACAAACATACCAATCATGGAACTTATAAAGAATTAAAGGGCAGAAAAATCACTTTTTATACAGCATGTGTAATGGTGACCACTGTCTTTAGGACTGAAGGTGAGGGAAAATCCAAAATTCATAAATCTTATTATAGAGATACTTTTTCCAGCCCCGACTAAGAAGATATTTATTTTATTTTGGA